ACCTGTGGCCTTCTAGAGAATTTCCTTCGGCTTTGTTTTTGTTTTTGTGGCACTGCTTATTTGCCTGGGGCCTTATGTATGATGCCAGGCAAGTGTTCTACCTACATGCCCAACTGCCCCTCCCCTTAAAAGCCTCTTTCGTCTACCCCTTGGCTTTCCTTTGCTACCAGTGTCTTAGGTGAGCACACAAAGCAGCGGGTCTCATCATGGTAGCTTCATGCACAGGGGTCACTGGACTTTCCTCTCCCATGTCCTCCTCCCCCGCTTCCTTCCTCAGTTAGTCTCCCTTCTGCCTTCCCCTTACACATATTCCATGACCCTTTCTTCTTTTCACTTTTGATTTGGAGGCAGGTTCTAAACTGCCCAGGCTGACCTTGAACTGCCTGTTGTCAAGGCAAGCCTTGGACCTTCCATTCTGACCTGGATTAGCCAGGATTCAGGCGTCTGCCACTTGTTCTATGTCAGGCTGTCTTTGCACTCAGCAGTAGCCGAGGACACACTGAACTCTTGATCCTTCTGCTTTTACCTCCCGGGTGGGTGTTGGGGCAGCAGGCATGCAAAACTGTGCCCCCTAGCTAGCTTCTGATGGATTTAGCTAGCTAGACACAATGGATTTTGAAGAGGTAGACAGGGCTGCTGGCCTCTGGCTACCTCTGACTGCCCCTTCTCCTCTTTCCTACCTTCCAAGCCAGAGAACCTGCTGTACTACAGCCTGGATGAAGACTCCAAAATCATGATCTCCGACTTTGGCCTCTCCAAGATGGAGGACCCAGGCAGTGTGCTCTCCACAGCCTGTGGGACTCCAGGATACGTGGGTGCGGAGGGCCCTAGGTTGGGGCTTGGGATGAGGAAGGAGCCAGGAGCTGCAGGACAGACATTTGTCACCACCATGTCCCTTTCCCTCCACAGCCCCCGAGGTCCTGGCCCAGAAGCCCTACAGCAAGGCCGTGGACTGCTGGTCCATAGGGGTCATTGCCTATATCCTGTAAGTGGGGGCATGGTCAAGGTGGCCCGTGACTACAGAGTTGCCTTCCCTGCTTTATCCCCTCTTTCTATACAGTTATATCTACCAGCTAAACACTAACAGGCAGGGGTATGGAGAGATGGCTCAGTGGCTAAGAGACTTGCTGCTTTTCCAGAGGACCCAGGTTCAATTCCCCACACGGTGACTCACAACCATCTGTAACTCCAGTTCCAGGGGATCTGGTGCCTTCTTTTGTCTCTGTGGGTACATACACATGGTGAATAGACTTATATGCAGGCCAAATACCCATATACAAACACACAAACAAAACAACAACCTAACAGGCTTCATTCAAGAGATGCCATGTTTCCAATACTGTGGGAAACACCGAGGATTTAGCAGAAACCAAACCAAACCAAGTGCCTGCCCTGAAGAGTTGACACATAGAATCAGTGAGCAAGCAAATCTATAAAACAGTGTCACCTGGTAAGAATCAGCGAAGAAAAATCAAGCAGAGTAGGGAGAGATGTCATTTCAGATGGCCAAGGGCTCTCTGTGGAGGTAACATCTGATTGGCTTTTGAATGACGTAAAGGATCCAGACAATTTAGGTGTGGGTAGAATGTCAAACACAGAGGAGTTTAGGACAGTAGGTTCAAAGGCCAGAAGGCCAGACTGCCAGATGGAAGTGAGCAAGGCAAGGAAGAGAACTTCCTGCAGGTTCCGTATGGCTCTTGGCACCGCCCCCATGCGCCATCGCCAAGCCAGTGAGTGCATTCAAACTGGGTGGTTTCTTCCTCTGCCCAGGCTCTGTGGCTACCCGCCCTTCTACGATGAAAATGACGCCAAACTCTTTGAACAGATTTTGAAGGCCGAGTACGAGTTTGACTCTCCTTACTGGGACGACATCTCTGACTCTGGTATTTGGGTCTTTTGCCTTATTGTCTGGGCTCAGGGGCCTTCTTCATCTGCTTGGGTGTCTCCACTGTCTGTCTTTGTTCCATCTCCCAGCTCCAGACTAGAAGCTGATGTCATGTTGCACCTTAGGTTCCCTCTGCTTGGCCTCTAATCTGACAGATCTGTAGGCATGCACGGTCTTCAAACCCAGTATTCACAAAAATACCTCCCCTAAGGCTGACTTCCCTGAGGCTTAAACAGCATTAAGTATTTCCATCTCCCATTTCATGTCCCGTTAGGGCCTAGCTTATGATGGCTGCACAGTGGTTTACACACTAGTGAGTGCACTGAGTGGATTCTTCTGTAAATATGTTATTAAGAAAGAGGGAGCTAGAAGGTTGGGGTGTGGGGGGTGGTGCATAAGCAGACTAGGCCTCGCTGTCTTGTTGCCGGGTGAGATCTGAGGGAGCACTGTTTTGGGGGTGTCCACAGGCATGATCATGCTGTATCTTTGCTTTTGTCTTGGGGCTTCAGCCAAAGATTTCATACGGCACTTGATGGAGAAGGACCCGGAGAAGAGGTTCACCTGTGAGCAGGCCTTGCAGCACCCGTGGTGAGAGCTCCCACTCCAAACGACATGTTAGGGTGGGCCTTGGGGACCCCAGGTCTGCCTCCAGCCTCACAGACAAACCTGCATATACCCCCATCCTAGGATTGCAGGAGATACAGCTCTGGATAAGAATATCCACCAGTCAGTGAGCGAGCAGATCAAGAAGAACTTTGCCAAGAGCAAGTGGAAGGTCAGCATACACTCCTAATCCTTGGTCCTCCCCAGACTCAACTTGCACAACACCCAGTACCAGGTGCATGCAGGACCTGCCCAGGGAGGTTTTCTAAACAATCTCCTATGTTCACTCAACAAAGGCCACTTGACCTCTAAAGTCCAGAGAGGGTCTCTGAGCTCCATCTCTGGAGGGACAGTCTACTCTGCAGGATTTAATGATGCAGCCCATGGGACCCAAGAAGGGTCAGAAAGGTGGCCATAGATCTGTCGGTTCACTAGTAATTAACCAGGCATAGAGGATATGCCTGAGGCAGACGAACAGGGGTGCAAAGAGGCCAGGGTAAGAGAGTGTGGCCAAGTGTTAGCCTGCTGGACTAGAGGGGCTGGAAGAATAAGGGAACTAAGGGTCAGAGCCAGGCTACAGAAGCTGGTAAAGGCCACTGAGATCCCCGGATGCTACAGTCGAGCACCCACCTGTTGTAGAGGACAATCCCAGAGAGACTGAGAGCAGGAACTGGTCCTGAAGAAAGGATCTGCTTTCAGGATGCAGAGAAGGCAAGGAGGGAAGCCTGGGGGTCCAATAGGGTATGTCAGAGACGTAGCAGATAGCGGGGCTTGACTCAGAAGCCACAAGAACACAGGATGGTAGAAAGCAGGAGGCAGACTCACAGGAAAACAAAGATGGGAGGCATACTGAGGGAGTGAGATGTTAAGGGCTGGCCCAACCTTCTGGTAGGGGACAGTGTGGACAGTGGTACCATAACCACAATAATGATCCTAGGGGCAGAAACATGTCTTGAGAGGGTTTAGTTTTGTACATGCTCAACTTGAGAGACACGTAGGACATCTAGGGGAGTAAATTGAATATAAAATGAGAGAAACAAATATGAAAACTACTTAACCTTTCTGCACTTCAGTTTTCTCCTTTGAAATTAATATTATTCCAGCACTTAGGGAGGGTAAGGCAGGAGGATCGGGAATTCAAGGTCAGCCCAGTCAGCCTGCCTGGGCTAACATGAAACCTTGCCTCAAAAAGGAGGGGTGGGTGAGTATACAGCTCAGTTGGCAGAGTGATTGCCTAGCATGCATGAAACCCTAGTTGGATCATTAGTATCACATAAAACTGGACATGGAGGTGGCACATGCCTATAACCCCAGGACTCAGGAGATAGAGGTAGAATTGGAGGATAGCCTGGGCTACATGAGAACCCATCTTTAAAAAAAAAATGAAAGAAATTAAAACTATTAATATTGCTTTCCAGAGCCAGGTACAGTGGCAAACACCTTTAGTCTCAGCACTTGGGAGTCTGAGGCAGGCAGATCGCTGAGTTCCAGGACAGCCAGTGCTTCATAGTGAGACCCTGTCACAAACAAACAAACAAACAAACAAACAAACAAACAAACAAACAGGGCTGGTCAGCCTGGTGTGCAGCACACACACGCCTGTAATCCCAGCACTTTGGAGGCTGAGGCAAGGATACATAGCAAGACCATCTAAAAAGAGAAACCAAAGTGCTGCATTACAGGATTGTGTGAGGATTAAATGAATAACCGTACAATGTACTCAGAGCTGTGCTTGACACCTAAGTGTGTGTTAGAGGAGTATGAATTCCTTTGTACACGTTTCACACATGTGCTTTGTATGTAAGACTGAATATAACTTAGTAAAGCCTTACGGTTTTCTGGGGAGGATTTGGGGAGTCCCTGCAGGACCCCCGCTGCCGACCCCTAGCCCCCAGGCCCCTTTTCAGCAGCCCCCTCCTCTTCACAGCAAGCTTTCAATGCCACGGCTGTGGTTCGGCACATGAGGAGGCTGCAGCTGGGCACCAGCCAGGAGGGGCAGGGGCAGACGGCCAGCCACGGGGAGCTGCTGACGCCGACCGCTGGGGGTAAGAACCGGGGCCATGTGGCCGGGGCTAGGTGGTCCATGAAGAGACAGACGTAAGGCTGGCTGGAGCCTGCTCCACAGCCGCCTCTGCTCTTTTCTCTGCACAGGGCCAGCCGCTGGCTGTTGCTGCCGAGACTGCTGTGTGGAGCCAGGCTCGGAACTGCCCCCCGCACCACCCCCGAGCTCTAGGGCCATGGACTGAACACCAAGGAAGTCAGGGTTTCTTTCATGGGCGGGGTTGGGGGCAGCCTGCTTCCTCCTCACCCCAGAACTGGGGAGTTTCTTACCCCATCCCTCCTCACCCCGTCCCTCTCACTCTTCACTGCATTTTCCATACAAATGTTTCTATTTTATTGTTCTTTCTTGTAATAAAGGGAAGATAAAACAAGACAGCTCT